ATATATATATATATATATATATATATATATATATATAGAGAGAGAGAGAGAGAGAGAGAGAGACAGACAGACAGACAGACACAGAGAGAGAAATGACTCATGCAGTTGTAGGAGTATGATTTAAGCAAAGTCCATAAAATACGCTTACTCAAAAATGTCTTTCCACAGTGTCAAATTTATTTGTCCAGTAGGTTACCAAACCAGTAGACCCTTTCAGAGAGTTGAATGGTCCTGAGAGTTTGTTCAAGAGAAAGGATACTGAACAGGACAGTCTCAAAGTTAAACTTACATCTCACAGTGTCTGTAAAGGTCTCTGTGTTTGTAGTTTGTGGTTTCTGCTCAGCAGGGTATCGTAGACAAAGTTCTTCCTCCTGTAACTTTTGTCCTCACAGACACAAGAAATACAGGTCTTACCTCAAACAGTCACAGTGTGCTCCCCTTTGAGCTTGCTCGTTTGGCAAGGAAATCAGCTGTCAGATTTTTGGAAGAAGTGGTGGTTAGCTGTAGGGACTGCCTTTGCTCCAAGGGTGAACAAATACTGTTTGGGGTTTTGTCTTTTTACAAGTAAAATGTGCTTTCCATGTCCTTATCTAACTAACATCTATTTTGACTTAACTCCAAGTTTTATTTTAAAACCAGTTTTACAGACATTTGGCTTCAACTAAATTCCAAACTGGAGCCTTGGTGCTGTATTGAGACCAGAAGTCTAGCAGTTTGAAACCACCAGCTGCCCAATAGGAGAAAGATGAGGCTGTCTACTCCCATCAAGAGTAACAATCCTAGAACCTCACCGGGCAGTTCTACCCTGTCCTGTAGCTTCCCTGTGAGGGAACTCCAGTCTACTACAGTTATCAGTTTGTGTGCACAGCTGGGTGACTGAGAAAACCTAGTGGTGCAGCATTTCAAAGCACTCAGAGCCAAACAGAAAGGTTGTTGCTTCAAACCCATCCACCATTATATATATATTTATATAAAAGATGTGTCCATATGCTCTCTTTAAGTATTCATAGCCTAGAAACCCCCCATGGGGCAGTTTTACTTTGTCCTTTCTATTGGATCATAATAAGTCCAAAGGGACTCGCTGTTATGGGTTGGGTGAGTGCAAGGGCAGAGATGGGAAAAGAGAGGTTTGGTAAAAATGAGAATTTTAGAACATTTGACCAAATGAGCAAAGTAGGAATATGTAGCTATCCATTGCAAAAGTTTTCAAATCTTAATATATAAAATAAAACTGATAATGCCATTAAGGAAATGACTACATGGTGGTAAAGATATGAGTGGTGATAAAACAATGATGGTAGTTGTTACTGGAGAAATAAATTATGAACTATTTATATACATGCAAGTTATAATGTCATACTTAATCAGTAATATAAGATACTAAGTTATCATCTCTTAGCTTCCTATCCAGCCGTTCATACTTCATTTGTGTTGCCAAGGAGGGAACCATGGAGACCAGAGTTCTCATGCTTTAGTTGGTTCCTTGCGATATGATCTGCCAATGTGGAGGAAATAGATGGAGACAAAGACTATAGAGGGAAA